GATATACGCAAGTGATTCAGCAATTCAAACTGATAATATAGCATTCGAACATGACTCAAAGCCTGACACACAAGCCGAGCCTTATATGCAGTCGGAGCCATTTTTTGATGAATTTTGTTAACTCGATCATCGCGATCTTTTCTGTTAACTCGATCGCGACCTCTGTTATCGCGACCGATGAGAGATGAGGCTTTGACGGTGATAGAGATAACAGTAGTAGCAGTAGCCAGTGGCTCCTGTGATCGAGATAATAGGATCCTCATTGAGATTACGATCGTCAATAGGATTAAGAGAAAAAGGTGGACTCCCATAGGAGTCCATAAATAGGATCCTCATCGATTTCGATGACGACGTGGTCCTTGATTACGATCGTCAATGGAGTAAGAACAAGGGGATTGCTTCTAGCGAATCCAAAGGAAGTGAGTTGCAATAAGGGAAGGACTACCGGATGGAAGACTTAGGCAATCTGCATCAAGGGATAGCATCATCCATTGACAACCATAAGGGATAGACATATAAGAAATAGAATGAGTAACATCTCATAACCTCGCATGCTACCATGCAAAATACCATGTGATTGATTAATCTAACGATCTAAAAGATGTAAAGTTTGTATTTCCAAATAAGTGAGCAGTTATTGATTATTTTCTAGAATAAGCCTGCTAATTGTAAAGCTGTAAAGCTGAATTGTAAGCTGTATCCCGTCGCAGATCACTTCCTTCATCCTTCCTGGAACCCCAATTCACACCGACATGCATGGTGGCTACAACAAGATCGAGGAGTTGGACGGCTACGACTACAAACACAAAAGGCTTTGCCACAAGTACGAGTTCGTGGCACAGGATGGAACACACACCCGGACGATTGAGGGGAACTGGCGGGTTCTCAAGAAGAATGTTCCTGAGAGCCAACGAGAAGGGAGTGACCTCCAGGAATACTTGTACGAGTGCATGTGGCGTCAAAAGCACACCAACAATCTGTGGGGTTCCTTCATGGTTGGCCTAGCGAGTCTACGTTACAGGCCGGCTGATATTGATTGCCTGTAGGACCATCGTGAATTTGTGGACGATTCAGAGAATTACGATCCAGATGAGACCAGCGAGAGCAGCGAGGGCTATAGCCTGTCGGCCGACTCGAGTGTGAGCGAGATAAGTGTCAGCGACCCATCGTCTGACTACATGGTGATCTAGTTTGTAGTTTTAATTGTTATTGTAGTAGAAGGTTGACCGTCGCATTTGTTATCTCTGTTATACCGGCCGTCATTTTGCTCCGTCATTGTCCTATTAGCTCTGTTGTCTGTTGTTCTTTCGCGAACTCAACTGGATAACCAACTTGAAGCCATTTTCCTCGACTTTGACCTTTGGGGGTACGGGTATGGTAAAATCAGTAGTTTAGAAGGATACTTGTGCGCGAATTAGTGTACGATAGATGTGGTTGCAATCCTGCATTTAGCTAAATGGACTTATGTGACATGGGCGGTTTTTGGTGGGCAGTTTCGGTAAATAGAGCTGTAATTTCGGAGGCGGTCACGAGGTAGTATTGTATTTAAGCGGTGATCGGTGTTTACACTAAAACAGTAGAAAATGAACTTCAACAGACCTCACTGATTGGGGATCACCTAATTACGGCGTCTAAGTAAACATTCGGTTGGTGTACGTTTTGTTGGGAATGGCAGTTAATTGGCGACCATCCGGTAGTCGTTGTACAGAGATCGCGTACGATTTGACAAAACCTTGCCGCTTTTCCATCTCATTTTCACAATCTTGGCAAAACATCGAACCCATGTCCTTTTTATTCTTCAACTTCCCGCCTTGTCCAACAATGTCGTGCTACTATTTTACACCAGAGAATTAATCGCTTTTGATTTGGGTGGGGAACGATGGGACAATGGCGAAAGGCGCGTTTAATCTGTTTAGGGCACTGTCTACCGAAGCTACTAAAGGCGCTCTTAAACCAAAAATCGTCGTTTAGTCGAAAGTTTAGTATTTTCGGCAGTGTCTACCCATGCTACTAAAGCTATTTTCGACTAAACTTGTTAGTCAAAGGTCGTCGTTTTTGACTAACGGGAGGCTCTTTAGTGAAAATCACTCACCAACACAAAATGCTTGACTAACAGTCTTTTAAGCAGCAGCAGCAGCAACAGCAGCAACAGCAGCAACAGCAGCAACAGCAGCAACAAGCCAACCAACCAACCAACTACTTGCCTCTTGTTATCTGTATCTCTACCGCTTATTATCCTCACTTTTACTATTCAGCACCTCTATGGATTCCTCTAGCAGCAGTTCGGAAGAGGATCAGGACGCATTCGACTTGATAGCCAATTTTGCAACGGTCCAGTCGGTCGTCATGGATGTCGTTGACAGCGATGGAGAGGACATTGATTCGATTGATCACTGTATATTTTCGATTTTCTTCTGGGCGTCCTCCTCTGTATTAGAGAAGTCAAAGGCTGGATACTCTGAAAGATGAGGAATGACATGAGGGTAGGCAAATTCCTCTCCATGTTTATTATAGTACTCAGTGACAGACCAATCAATGTAGTCCTGCTCAGTGGAAAAGCCGGTACGATCCTGGGAGTGGGAAGCTCGGTAGACAGCCATAAACTTGCGGGATCCCTCAGCAATCAACTTCCAACGACGCTTGAGCTGTTCATGATTTCGAAAGTCAAACACCTTGAGACCATCATCATCAGGCTCTGTCTCCTCCTCGGCCAGCTTATTGAAGCGTGCTTCCACACCTTTGTGCCAGAATTTCTTGTCCTTTTGGTTGGCTCCCAGTAGATTGTTTTTGGAACAAGTAATGAAGGAACGGGCAAGCCAAATATCTTCCTTCTTCGTGAAGTTGGAACCACGGTTGCGCTGCTGAGACTGCTGAGACTCCTCCTTCACAGCAGGCACCTTCTTCGACTTCTTCTTTGGCTTGCCAGGGGGTGGTTTCCCACCAGGAGCCTTTTTCTTATTTCCCTTCTTGTTGGCCTTGGAACAGGAACCTGCGGCAGCACCTCTCCGGGTATTGACATGCTTGGCGCCCTTTGTATTAATCACAAGAGAGTCTTCTACATTCTGCTTGTGCTTGCACTGGCGATCAGGAGTGCTTCTTGTGGCAATGGCAACAGACTTTTTGACAGATTCAGCGAGCTTTTCTTTGAGATCTGCAGTATCAATAGATCCATCATCTTTCTTCTTCAAAGCCTTGGAATCGGCAGACTGACTTCCATCATCAGTAGTAGTAGTAGCAGCAGAGGCATCATCTCGAGAGGCCATGGTGCTGATCAATAGAGTCAAAAGCAACAACAAAGGGAGTGGAATGGAATAGAGCACAACAACAACAGGAATAATGACTGAATGAGAGAGGTTGCGATTTTCCTTCCAGCGAGCGAGTGGACGGATTTTAGTCGAACCGTTAGGCGTGTTTCGGTAGATACTGATCAGTCTAAAATTTTCGACAAAACTCACGACTAACCGTTAGTGTGCATGGTTAGTCGAAACACGGTAGACACTGACGATCTTAAAGCTTTTCGACTAAACACACGATTAAATACCAGTCTTAAACAATCTTTAAGCGCGCGTTTAGTCACCTCCGGTAGACAGTGCCCTAACCATTTCAGTTGCCGCGGATGGGCTCTTCGATCGTCGATACCTGGTACCTTCTTCTCAAGGTACGTGACTAGATCTGGCTAGCTAGTCAAGGCACCTAATACCAACAACAATAAAAGCACAAGCACACGCACACGCATATGCTTACCGGTATGATCATCCTTACTTGGTGACTTCTCCTTGGGGGCGAACAGGCGTACAGGTACCGATACCTACGACCTACTAGTACTCAGTGCACCACTTGAGGTACATGACATTGCAGTACGGTTCCAACAGCTGTTCCAACCTCCAACACAAACAGCCTTCGGCCTTCGGTTCCCTTGTCTTTCCTTCTTTTCAAGGCTTTTGCAAAGGTGATGCCTTTGCTCTTCACAGCCTCTGTAGGTGCACTTCAGCGTTTTAAGGCTTAAGAGGTCAGTCCACCTCAGTAGCAAGAACTGGCAATATGTTACATCCGGTTACCGGTATGAGCTCCAGTTTGAGCTATAGTAGAGTGGCTAGTAACCTGCTGCTGAATCGACTCAAGCGCATACCAATCATTTTCCGCTTCAGCTTCCCGAGCACAGTCCGAGCCGGAGCTTCTAGCTACTAGCTAGTAGTACCTGGGGCCTGGAGGAGACTGAAGCAAGTCTCGCCCCTTGGCGTCGTCTCTTTGATGCCCGGTGAACCGTCCACTGGCTAGCAAGGCAATCCGCCGCTGTTCCAGCCAAGAACCCTTTCGCGCGGTACAATGGTATTGAAAGCCCATCCCAGCTTTCTCGCCGTCCACCTCAGTTCCTGCCTTGTAATAAGAACCGAAGCTACCTCATTGTTGCTTGTGGATTTCCATGTCAATGGACGGGATTTGGCTGAATCGATGACAACCGGGTTCGCTTCAATGCCAGAAGGATACCAATGCAGGCAGGATGCTTCATCGTTCAATTGTTTCACTACATCATGGCATGTATTGCTCTGGGTGGCTACCAGTACCCTAGCTGGCCAGACGCCCAAAGAATACAACTCATGGGTGACATGGAAAATTGAGACGTGGTTTCGAACAGGGATTGATTCCGCGCCAGCCATCCTGGAGAAAAATTGAGACGTGGTTACGTGGTTGTTGCGTGGATGATGGACGCACGGTACTGGTACCGGAACGGATTACGCGCCAGCCATCTTGGACGTGCGGATGGCGTACGAGTACTGTACCATGGTACCTGGTACCGGTACCTGGTACCACCTTACAAGGCGGAGCCAAGAAAAACGTGCATCGCAAGAACTACTAGCTAGTACTAGTACATGTAGCTAAACAACCAAGGTTTTAGATTTTGCCCTTTTCGCCTCGTTATTATCTTTCTTGTCTGAAGCAACCAACAGCAGAAAACCAGCAGCAGTATGAAGATCGTCTTGACAGTGGACAACACCGGCTCCATGGGGCAGGCCACATCCAGCGCCAAGACATCGATCGAAGAGATCCGCACCATGACATCGTTGCTCCTTGGTCGGCCCTCGGTGAAGATGTCTGTTTACGGCGACTATGATAGTGGGTCGTCCTCAAGCACATCTCGTCTGAATCCGTTATTAGACGTTCAGTTTTTTTTGTTTACGGCGACTATGATAGAATCACGCCGGACAATGAACGTGGCGGTTGGTCTATTTTGGAGGAACAAGTCGATTCGCAGACGAGGCATGCTTGGCTCGACAAATATTGCAGGCCCTTGGGTGGGGGCGGGGGTCTAGAAGCCCAAAAGACGGCCTTCAACCATCTTCTCCGCGAAAGGGAACGCTGTGTTGTCTTCCATTTCACTGACGCTCCCCCCCCATCTGCCCAACAACATGGACTCTGAGGGCCGGTTGGAAGAGGCTTTCTCGAAGAAGAACCAGATGGAGACCGACTGGGACCGCCTCTGTGAAATGACAAAAGAGAAGCACCGAGTGGTGACATTTCTGACAGGACGGAGCTCTGCGATTGTGGATTTGTACAGCAAGATGGGTGATGTTGTTGTTGTCCCACAAAACTCATCCGCCGTGATCACCGCCGCCATGATGGCGGTCCTGCTCCAGCTGATCGGCCAGCCAACCGAGCACGAAGTCGCCTTCCACCGCAAGAACCACCAAACTTCATTCATCGAAAAGAGCCAAGAGACGGAGGTGGAGGTTCCCATCAAGCTGGAGGACATCATGAAAACCGCCGACCCTCCCACGTGATGGGTGCGTTCGACGACTTGCTCGACCCCACCAAGCCCGATCAAGCCGTGTGCCTGACCACCAACAAGATCCTTGGTCGCTACTGGCGCCAAATTTGTGGCAGGTACCGTGTGTTGGACAATTGCAGATACGAAAGTCAAGCCCAGGCCGTGATGAACAAGCTGTCTCATTGCAAGACAAGGATGAACGCAACCAATCAACAGATCAGGAAGAAGTGGATCGACGAAAGTCATGACGACACCGAAGCGATCCGCAAACTGGTGGGAGAGGCGTTGCCCGGCTGCGCTTCCGTGTTGGTTCTGAGAGGAGATCACCAAACCATTAGCTTGGACGACCTGCTGGCTCTGGGCCGTTGTGGAGGCAGCTTCCTGGAGCTGTCAAAGCTGCTGGCCACCCTGGAGGAGGTTCCGTTGGGTGACCGGGCACTGCCGCAGGACCCCGGCGAGGCCCCGGACTTCGTCCCTCTCCAAGGCATGCGCCTGATCGATGTATTCCGTCTCATTGCAAAATTTGGTCAAACCAGGAATCCTTTTCAGCCCAAACACCGCCACGCTGGCTGCGATCTTGGCTTTGCCGAACAAACACTTGTCCGGATTGGCCCAAGAAGTTTTGGAGAAACGCAAGGGCGCGTGGATTGATTTCTCGCTAGACGATTCAGGAGCCCCAAAGAACCCCACCAACTACTCCCTTAACTTTGTTCGCATACTCAATTTGAAGCACAGCAATTATCTGACGGAAGAGGAAGGGGAGTTTCGCGATCACTATCTCCGAATCGAAAAGGTGCTTCGAAATCACGACGCCGTGATTTCAGTTGTGACAGGGACGATCATGAAGGAGCCGCGCCTTGACCTAACTTGGAAACGGGTGTGCACGGGCTGCGGGCATCCCAGGTGCTTCACTATCTTTCCGGGGACTTCAGATTTGTGTGGCATTTTTTTGGCTTTTCACGACCACACATTGTCCTCCAACGTGCGCGAGAGGGGAATGAGAACCGAAGAGGTCGTCGAGGTGGCCCCTGACAAGACGCACTGGGCCCAATGCTCTGCTTGTAAAGCCAACTCCGGCGTCACCAAGATCGAAGACTTGAACGTTCGTCCCAAATGTCACTATTGCAGATTGCGACTACCTTGCCCAACGGTGGAATGCCACCTCTGCCGCCACAAGTACGTGAGCCAGGACGGGGCCGCAGAGAAGGCAATGAAATCCGCCGTCTGTGCTGCAGACAGCACTACCGCACGGGGCCTGCGACTCCAAAAGGCCGACGGTGGTGGTGCCTTTGTGTGTCCTCGTTGCGTGTGTAAGCCCAATGACATGGTCCAAGAAGCCGAGGTAAAGTTATCAGCTCTGCTGGAAGACAACAGTGTTTTGAGAACGTTGGTGCCTTTCGAAGAGTATGATGTCCTGGTTGATGGAGCGTGAAGCTCTGGAAACGTGTTCTTGCTGTCCATCCAAAGAAAATCTTGGAGGAGGACTGGGCACCTTCAACGGAGCTGCGCTTCAAAGGATACACAGTCCATAATCCGCTGCTGGTGGCGGCCACCTTCAAGGAGAAGTTGCTCAGCAACGAGGCCACGGTGGCTTGTTGCATGTGCGTGGATGATGCTCCGTTGCGTTTGATAACGGAGGCCTGCGGGAATTGTTCAAACAGGATTTGCCAGGGCTGTATTCAAGGTTGGTACGGCCAGGCGGTGCCTGGGAGTGTGATTTCACAATCACACACGCTGTGCCCCTTTTGCAAGGCTTTTCCCAAGCACACCGTGATCAAGAACCTGACACAAGCCCATATCAGAAACATTCGCCCATCTCGCAAGGGAGGACAGCAGCTGTGCCAGTGGGATCCCCACATGCGGCATGCTGCTTGCGCTGGTTGTTTGGTAGTCAATCCTACGATTGGAAGAGAGTGTGCTGGAGAAGCGCCCCCCCTGCATGCCTTCCTGTGCGAGGAGTGTCGAGAGGAACGGAGACAAGCCGTCGAAGAGGCAGCAACCACACTGGCCACACAGAAGTGCCCTGGTTGCGGGGTTTGCACTGAAAAATTGGGTGGCTGTAACCACATCACATGCCGTTGCGGAGAGCACTGGTGTTGGGGTTGTGGTCAGGGTGGATTTACTGGTCATTCGGTGTATGAGCACATGGAGGGTTGCGCTGGTGTTTTCCAGGATGGATGATAGGCAAAGGAATTGGGGCGCTGTGCCCACCAACATTTCTCTCATCTTGCCGCTGTTTCCATCTTGTGTGCCTCCTGCGAGGTGAATAGTGCATCAAGCCGTTGGGCTCGAGCGTTCATTTGAAAAGTTGTTTACTTAGTAGTTAGTAGAATATTTTCTTGGTTGATCTAGTGGTCGGCTCCGTTTGCTGTTGCTATCGGGGGTTTTGCCAAGAATGTTTGTCGTCGGTGTGGGCGATGCTTGGATGTCTGCCTGCTAATAGCTTTTTGTCTTTTTAGGCCTTGCTGAAGCCCAATCCATTGGCTTCACCATATCGTTCCATGAATCGCATGAATCGGTCCCACTCTTCCGGGCTCTTCATGACATAGACAGATTCAATTGATTGGGGCTTGCCATTGGAAAATCTTGCATTGACATCCGTAGTGCTGATTTCTCCTTCTTCGTCCGACATGAACAATCCAGTAATTTCTCCTTGAGAGGCGGTGCTGGCATCAAAAACATTTGGATTGTTGAACAAAAATGTAGCAATTCCCGAAGATCCATCGCGAGCCCTGGTCAACTTGACTTGAGGGATTGACTTTTCTTCCAAACCCCTGACAAACTGAATCTGAGCTCTTTCTCCCTCGGAACCCTCGTCTTCAGAAAATAGTTGTGTTGGTGTCCTCAATGGAGTTGTGGTGGATGGGGCAAAAGCGCTGACAGCAGCGATGGTAGCAGCAAAGAGAGAGAGAACCTTCATGTTGGAATTTTTCTGATAAAAGAGACTTGAAATGTGAAATTGTGAGAGTCTAGGGTTGGAGGAGTTGAGCAAGACAACTTCTGCGCTGGAGTTGACGGACGCTGTTTTGATGAGTGAGTTGGAGCTACTGTTGGCAACCAAATTTGATTGAGGCAGCTACTTGTTGGATCTTGTGCTGATGAGAAAGATGAGTTGGTCGATGATGTGAGTGAGCGGGTACGTGTTACAATTTCGGGGACTAGTTTAGTCACGAATGTATCTTTGAACATCACAGCCTCGCAAGCTTTCTTCCCAACCCAGATACCGTACGAGTACAATGTACTGTTTCTCTGTACCGCTACATGTACCGGTTCAGGGCAGCATAAATGTTGAGTGTGAACAGTCTATTTGGAGATCAGCTCCTAATCAGCTCCACCTCCGAGCAACCCCCGTTCAGAAAATAATTGGCGATGAGTGTCCGCGGTAGTACTATCAGCCCGGTACCATAACATCATCACGAGTTGCAATTAAGAATCGTGGAGGTCCCTTTTAGTACCGACAGTTAAACCCAATCCCACTCTCATTGGAACTTGGACATGTTCCAGAATTCTGGCGGATCTTTTGAATCGAATCTACGATCTGGAATGGTACAAAAATGAGGTAAAGTTGTACGAACAAGCGCAGTATCCAACCAGCTGCATCCGCACAAGGGCTCAATATCTTTGGTCGGCAGTTTTCTCAATCCAAGCAACAGAACTTCCCACAAATTTTTGCCCAGGTAGCTCCACCATTATCATCACCATCCACTACTACTAAAAGATGAAGATCTCTGCTGTTTTTGTTGCCCTCTTGTTGGCTCCTGCTGCTGCTACTTTGCGTGCTACCAAAGAGCGTGAATTGGAAGCTGATTCCTACCATGGAGGTATTGTTGGAGACTTCAGTAGCTGGATAGAGAGTTTGGTGCAGTGCTTTTCTGGTGTGACGACTGTTCAGACTCCCCAAGGCCTTGTCAAGATGGCCGATCTTCAAGTTGGGGAGGAGGTGTTGGCTGCCAATGGACAATATGAGCCGGTCATTGCCTGGGCCCATAAGCACACCACCGAAAAGGCTGAATTCCTCCAATTCAATGGAGAATTGGAGATGACTGGTGCTCATCTTGTCTTCCTCCAGGGAAAGATCAGCCCAGTCCGTGCCGATTCCGTCAAAGTTGGAGATGTCCTCCAAGGTGCTACCGTCAAGACCATCAAGACTGTCACTCGCGAGGGAGTCTACACTCCTTTGACCAAGAGTGGAACTGTTGTTGTTAATGGAATCAAGGCATCTTCCTATGTGTCTCTGCAGGACAATGCCGATTATGTGGAATTGCAAGGAGGATTTGCTCTCATTTCTTACCATGACTTCGTGCACATGGCTCTTTCCCCCCTTCGCATTTTTACCAGCTTCTCCAGCAACCTTTCCTACACTGAGGCCGGAATCCCCACCGTTGCCTCTGCCGGAATTGACTTGGCTCTTTGGACCGAACAGCAAAACATTTTCGTTCAGGCTGCCCTCTTTGCAGTCTTTTTTGTCTTGGCTGGTTCTTCCATGCTTTTGGAAAACACCTTTGGACCTACCATGGCTCCTTTTGCCTTGATGGCTGCTGTTGCTGCTTGGGCCATGAGCCGCAAGATCACTGTTCGCAAGCTCAAGTCCGTCTAGATCTTGGAAGAACATTGAGAAGAAAAAAGTATATGGATCTGAAATGGGAAATGATGTCTTTTGTTGCGCTGCATCCCTGGATTTGTCACATTGCCAGCTATGGAAGCATAATGTTTATTAGTGAGGATGCTTGTTCTGCTTTATCACACTTTGAATAGTATTGCATCCTCGTCCGTTGCTATAGTATCAAGCACCGCAACAGGGAATTCAACAGATCGAAAATACCGGCTCATGGCGCATGCTTGTTTTTTCACATCCAAGGTGTCGCAAAGCAAGAACAATCCATTTCTCTGCGTTCCCTTGGGGTTTCAACTAGCGAGCTAGTGATCAGATTTGGTTTGTAGTTGATAGAAAATCTTCCCGGCAGAGCCCGAACATTTCGACCCTGTTTGGTTGGTTGTATCTGAGGTCGATCCAACCTAAGCTTGCTGTGACTCTCATATCCTGGCACCAGGATCTCCCTCATGCTACCGAGAGAGTAGCGAGGTAGGTCTGAAGTCATACAGTTCTCTGATTTATCCTTGTTGTGCATATTTTGCCAGCATGGCAAATCCGTCGCCACATACTCGATGTTACCGCTACCGGTACGACTTGCAGGGATTGATGGTCGCCATACTGTACGGTAGGCTGTGGGGGTGCTAGACTCGAGGAGATGAAAGCGATTGAGGCGGCACCGTGACACAACTTTCCTCCTTTCCTCTCTCCTCCTGTTCATTTCTAAAGCATTGAACAATGCTGCAAATGCATCTGAAACTGGTTTCCCAATCGGACGTGGACGGTAAGCCCATCTACCGTAGGCTTCAAACGGAAATCGTGGGGGTGCTGCAAGAGTGTGCCCTGTTCATCAACCGGTACGGGTAACAACAATTTATGGACAGATGGACAGCCCTCGACACCGTGGACAAAAGATGATGCTTCCGAGTGAAGAATGCAGCCTTGTGCGTGGATTGTGGATGGAGCAGCTGCTACTCCCTCTGACATCAGTGTGGAAAGAGAACTCCAGAGTTTGACTAATGTCGTAGTGTGTTCCGCAGCGGTTTGCAAAATACATGTCATTACTGAAGTTTGATAGTGAAAGAGTGACAGCATCGGTTTCAAATCTGCGTCAGATATTGCAATGGGTTTTATTTAACACAGAAGGCCCCATACGTCAAATGACATACGAAAAATTAGTTCTTTGATCGATTTGATTGGATATTTGCTACAGCGTTCAAAGCAATGTTTCCTTTCCTGTTCTCAAAGAGCAAATAAGTAACACCCATCGATCACCTCTGCTGCCACAACAAACAAACAACAACAACGAGGTAGACAAAGCAACCCATGTCAATGGCCCAACAAGAGACTCTAGTAGAGGAAAGCAACAACAACAACCAAGAGAAGTAGATCGACTTGATCAGGAGAGAGGTACTAGCTAGTAGCACAGTTCAATAGAACGTCAACAATTTGCCTGAACGTTAGAATCAAAAAATCAAAGCGACAAGCAACACAGTCTTGACGCCAATCATGACTCAACCATCAGGAGACGACAACGACGACGAAGCAGCGGCGGCTTTAGAGGCTCCCAAACAAGAGCAAAAGGCGGCTGCTGCCAAGAAGGAAACAGCAGAAGACAAGGAGGAAGGAGACGATAATGGCGAGTCTTCCAGCACCAGCAGTAGCCAAGGACAGGGCAGTGGTGAAGGCTACACGGCTGATTGCTCGTCAGATGCTTCATCAGACCTCTCAGGCTCTGCCAAGAAGAAGGAGAAGAAAGAGAAGAAGGATAACATCATCCTCTCTGTCAACAATCTTTCGCTAGAGGATGGTAGCAATGGCGCCGATGCCAACGGTGCTGCTGCAAAAGGAACGGAAGGTGAGAAGACTAAGAAGAACAGCAAGACTGACGCTGGAAAGGGAAAGAATGGGAGCTCAAAGCCTCCTCCTGGATCACAAGCAGGACAGGAAGGAAACAAGAAGGACAAGCCAAACAAAAAGGACAAGAAGAAAAGGCGAAGGAGTTCAACTGCTAAAGCAGAAACTGCAACCGACAACCCTGCCAATGATGGGGCTGACAGTGATAGCGACATGTCTGATACCCTCGAGGATGGCATGATGCCACTTGCACAATGGAATGGAGTGCAAGTTGTCCATCCAATGGACCCTCGGATAGATATTAGCAAGGTTGGATACTTGCACGGATCTCCAGTCCCACGAAGCGGCCATGACGGTCAGCCAAAGCAGGAGGAAGCGCCGTCCCTAGAGCACTACGTACAGCTTATGGAGGTAGGTCTATGTCTACGTATCGTCTAACCACGATGTGAACCTACCTGTTGTCGTCATGCAGATTCAACTCACCCACTTGTAACCCTTTTCACTTACTTTTGTGCATCTCCAGGTTGTTCGTCCCTTTTTCAACTCTTACGGCCTTGTTGATGAACAGAGTCCCCAGGTGCCATCAGAGGCAGGTCTTCCTCGGGGGAACCCACTGGCTGCAATGCCATCAAACATAACACAGCCAGCCAGCAGCAGCATGCCAGATTACCGAGCAGGAGCGTCAGGAGAAGACTCCAGAACATCCACTTCACTCTCGTGCACACGAAGTTCCTCGTCGCAGTCATCTCACAGCGGGAGACGGCAGAGGAACGCACCATTGCACCTCTTGAGCCATCAAGATGTTGCCACCAATGCCCCAAAGCCACCCCAAGTACCGCTGCAACTGGCGGCACGCCAACGACCTCTGGCCGCAGCGGCTGCGGCTGAGTTCTACGCACCCGATGATGATCCAGCAGAAGATGATGAGGAGGATGACAGTGATACATCGTCAATGGTTGTCTTGGCACGCACCAAGAGAAAGCATAAACAGCCATCATTCGAGCCCCAGTCCAGTCAAGAAGATAGCATCGGCAGCATTCGGGATCATCCCAGCGACACGGCCCGACGTGACGCAGATCGAGCTGCTGCAGAGGCTGGCGGAGCCAATGACCAAGTGGATATGGATGACGACGAAGATGACCGCAAACCGGCGGCGAGACCGCAGGCACCACGACAGCAAGAAGAAGCTCCAAATCAGAACCAAGACGAGGAGCTTCCTCCTCCAGACGACGATGAAGCGGCTCAAGCAGGCAATGCATCTTCTTCATCTTCGTCGGATCAAAGAATACAGCCAGGCCCTCCAGCAAATCAGCCAAGACACAACTATGCTGATGTTGCGCATGTTGTAAGTGAATCAGCAAGCAACACCAACACCACAACGTCTGGTTCTGGAAGTGGGAGTGGAAGTGGTGCCAACAGTGGCAGCAACCAAGGCAGTTCTGGAAGTGGCAATGGTAGTTCTGGTAGTGGAAACGGTAGCTCAGGAAGTGGAAACGAAGGGAAGGGCAGCAGTGAAGATGCAGGTAACAAAGAGGAGGTTGGGGGTGCCAGCAATTCCAACTCGGAAGATGTGAACTCTGATGACAAACAGCTGATTCATAAGAAGGAAATTGCTCACCCCGTTGCGGCGCAAAGACATGGTGCGAGTGCCGTGGCTGACGGAGGAGCGAACGATCCTATGAAACTGGACGCTCCCAGCCCTCAAGCTCCAAGTGACCAAAACATTGCAGCCCGGGAACGGAAGTTGCAGGATAAGAAGCGGAAGAGAATGAATATGCGACGAGAGTATGAAGAGAAGGTTCAACAAGAGATGGAGTCTTCCGAGAGCAGCGCTGCCAAGAATGTGGTCTTCTTGAGACCGGGCAGACCTGTTACGCTCGACAAAGTCTTGTCATTCACGAAGATTGCAAGGTAAGCTGCAGCAGATACTATTATATATTGTCGAGGACGACAAGATGAAAACATGTTTCCTGACTTGTCTTTTTGCTATTATGCCAATCTTTTGTTCACGATCAGAATGGTCATCCAAGCTGGTCCACCGTTCCTTGTGGTACACACGAACGCGGCCTACACTCGACTGACGGGCATCGATGCACACGCTGCCGTGGGCAAACCCGTGTCGACTTTGCTTGCCGTGCAAGAGCCTTCTTCAATGAATCGAGCAGGCGATGCTGCCATCGAAAACGTTGCTCGAGCTCCCAGCAATGCAAATCTAAACCAAGCAGCCGTCCCTGGAGGGGTTCGCCAGAATCAACTGGGTGCCTTCCAGGTCGAAACCATGAACAGTTTTCAGCGTCAAGGCCAGTCACATGCGGAGGCAGAAGAAGCAGGAAGAGCCAGAGCGGCCCAGGCTAGTCAGAATGATTCAGGGAACATCAATTTGGAGAGACTGGTAGCTGCTTGCGGCTTCGGCAAGTACCTCGTCTTGCATGCGCGATCTCGTCCCCACCATATGGTTGGCCGAAATGTTACCTTCGTAACGAAAACAGGGCCAGCCGGGAGCTCTCTGCCTCCCGCAGCTGCTGCTTCGGCTCCAGCTGTCCACAGTATGCGCAAACTTGATGATGGTAGCAGCGACACAAGCCTCACAAGTAACTTTGAGGGCCCATTCGATTTCCTGAAATGTCGATCTTCTATATCACCAATACTTTCTGATACAATTGACTCCGCTGTGGTTACTGACACAAATCAGGAGCCGCACAGTCACAAAAACAAGCGTCGAAAGCATCATCATCACCACCACCATGGCAGCACGGAACAGCAAGGATCTGCGAATGCATCAATGTCCGGTGGTCATCCCCACAACCATCTTCGACGGGGGCTATCAAGCAAGGACTCGGTGATGATTCCGAAGCGATACCAGCAATGCATTACCCACTACGCCATTCAGTTGGAGCTTTTTGACGACAGCAAAGAGCTGAACGACGAGTCGAAGTCTTCCAGTTCTACTTCCGTTGAGGCCAATCTGCTTGGGTTGACAAAAGCAGAGCTTCGGCGACAGCGCCAAGCGGCTCAAACCGGACAGCATGGGACCTCGCAAGAAGAGTCAGAGCAACGACAGCAACAGGAGGACGACGACGAGATGGCCTCTGAGACAACAGAGGGGACCGCGCCGGTTACGGCGGTTGGGTGAGAATGGGGGATACTCATCTTTCGGTTTTACAATGGACACATGTTTCCATACGCACCGTACACTACTAGATAGACTGTATGCTAGATTAAGTAATGGTGATTCCTCATTATGCTATCATACGATTAGCTGGCTAGAGATAGATTAGTCAGTGTTTCCGGAGCGTCGTCGCATTTCGGGAAGGGGTGTTGACAATCGTAATAAAACGGCTGATCTGGTAGTCACAACCATGAGCCTGAACCCTAAGAAACTCAAAAACGGCGATCATTTTCCTTTTCTCACTTTTCGTCTTTCCTCGCTACCTCCGCCAGTTTGCCAACACGGAACTCTTTCAGCGAACAACGAACAGCAATCCATTGCTTTGCAATGCTGCGGATACGTATGCAGAAGGGGGTTTGGCTAGTTTATCGCTAGTATCAAAGCTAGCGATTCTCATGGGCCAAGCTTCATTTCTTTCATCAATATGATGAAGTGAGAGACCTCATTTCATTTATTTCCTTGCCTTTCTTTCAACACACAAACAACAACAAAAAATGATGCTCTACCCCTCGAGTTGTCGTCGACGATGCAAATCACCGGCCAACATTTATGCTGGTCGAATGATGTTGCTCGTGGCTCTCCTCTCGGCAATGATGATGGACCGTGCCGATGGACAAGTCGAAATTCTAGCACTGGGTGCCGTTGCCGTCGCAGCAGTAGGAGGAGGTGTTTTTGTGAAGGCAAAGTTTAAGAAAATTGGATACTTTCTTCTGAATGGCAACGACAAAGACGACGAAGACGAAGACAAGAACCCTGAGAAAAGCAAGAGCAAGAAGGGCGACGGAGGAGGAGGACATAATAAAAAAGATAAGGAATCTGAAGATGAAGAGGAGAAAGAATCTAAAGATGAAGAGGAGAAAGAATCTGAAGGTGATGAAGAATCGGAAGATGAAGATGATGAAGAATCGGAAGATGAGGACAAAAACATCAAATATGGATTTCTCTTCTCTACCATTGACAATGCGGATTGGTGCATTACTGCCAACAACGGCGTGCGCAAGGGAGCTCTTGTGGAGATGAGGCCCTGTCGTTTCAGTAACCAGCCCAAGTCTCAACTGTGGAGTTTCAACAAGGATGGACAGTTTCAGAGTGCCAAAGATCCCCTTCAATGCTTGATGGTACCAGAAAACAAGGATTACGCCAGAGTAAAAATGGGGCCTTGCGACAGTGATGATGATATCAATGAATTCAGGTTCAGGAAAGCAGAGCCTCCTGCAATCATCCGAGGGAAAGGATACCAGAACATGTGTTTGACAAACAAAGGCCAAAAGATTGACAAAGGAGATACCGTTGTTGTAGATGATTGTGACAGGACTGATGAGCACTTCCTGTTTACTTTGCATTATGTGTAATCACGCTGTGTGTCACGAGCGATGGGAGAGGAAACCGATGTGATCCTGGGAGTTTGGTGGTGAAACTTGACGTTTTCCAACAGGCCACAGGCGCCATGTATGTTGGATGTTGTTACTGTCGTCGTCACGTCAAATCTGTGGTTGTTCGTTCGACCTTTGCACGAGTATTTTCTTTTCCAAGTCCGCTTTCTTGCTCTTGCATCCAGGTACTGTCAACTGTCCCATCCCATCCGACCTGGATGAAGCTACCATACACCTCTGAGGTTGAGGAAACCAGAAACGAACATGTCTTCTATCACCACTTCTTCCTTTGCTGCCTTTTGTCAGAGGATTCGATTCACGTTAACGAAGTTGGCTCCTTTCAGGCGTTTCTTCTCGTTCCTAAAATTGATAGATAAAGCCCTCTAGCTAGTAGAATAAACATGTGTAAGAAGTGTCTCTCTGCGCTCTCAGTCCTACAGTACTGTTTTGTACCAGTATGTTGCTGGATCTCTAACTAGAACTCGAAGGTGGTCTGCAAGATCATCGACGGTTGGAACAGACTTCAGTGGGTTATTGACTAATTGGTGGTTGCAGCTTGCTCCTCAAGACCAACAAATTTGGTCTGCTCAATACAAGAAAGTGGGCACTATGCAATACCGTACATTTAAAAAAGTGTTTGCCATCATCGCCATCCCCCCCCCCCGTGGAACTCTATAAAGTTCCCGGCACCATTCATTTCGGGATGCAAAACGACAGCCTTCAAGTCTACGACACGGAGAATGAACGATTGCGTCTCTTTTGTTGATTCCGTCAGTCTCTTCCTTCGAGTTACAAGCTCTACCTATTCTTCTTCCTTGTCGAAGTCAATGTCTAGGGCCCTGCCGCAAGGCAAGATGTCCTTCATTTCGGGAAAGATTTCTTCCCAAGCCAGATCAAACAACATGTAGAACATGCTTTTCATCACTAGCCGATTCTGCAGCATTTCATGAAGTATGTCAAGCCCATCTCTCGTCAAATCTTGCCCCAACACGGTTCTCAGTTGCTCTGGAAAGCTGCTGTGGAGCAGTTCCCTCGATTCTTCAGCACCTTTCTTTTGTTGTTCTGGCGTCAGTGCAGGAGCTGAGATATAAAACACTCCATCTGGCCACAGCATCTCCGTGCCATAGTTGAGCCAATAGGCCAATGCATTGGCGCTAACATATGATGTGTGAGCCTTGTAGAGAGTCTTCCGGAATTCACCTGGAGTTGTGACTATAATGTTGCATTGACAAGGAAGTGGACAAGCAACGGACGTAAGCTTTAAGCGACATGACGCGCAAGGATTGGAACGCACAAAACCCTGACTTACCTGCGAAGGACATGGTTTTCAATGCTGAAAGCATCTGACTCCTGAAGAAAGATGCATTTTCGAAGCCGAACTGGTAGCTCAAAAGCTCAAAGATTCTGCTTCGAACCTGACCCAGCGGAACCTTGTCAATCTTGTTGACAATGGTTTGGTCTGTCATGACCAGCTTCTCCGATTTCATAGCATCCCTGCTGGCATCTTCATTGATATCAAACAGAGAGTCGTTGCCGCCACTTGCGCTTGTTTCTACTTCACCGTCATCTTCCCCCGACTCGTCTCGACCACTGTCAGTGCGGCTAGGAGTCGAAGCGAGAGGAGACGGTGCTGCAAACTTCAACGCCTCACGAGCCATTTCCGCCCGACCTAGTGGATCATTCAAGGGCGAAATTGGAAGCTTGCCAACCAGAACATCACGTGATAATGGATAGAAGGCCCCAATGAACATCAGCAATTCCGGCGATCTGCTTAAGTGGTGGCCACTCGACAGAAGATAGTGCAAGTAGCCATCCAAGATCTCCATTCGTTTCGTGATGGATCGTTGCGTCACTCCCAAAGCTCCGGCCTTATTCGCTTGTCCTAACGACGGGATAAGTGCATTTCTCGATCGAGTGCGGTTCCCTTGCGGGGCGGCTCCGGCGGTAAAAGCTGCAGCGGCAGCACCTACCAACCTCGAACCAGCTGTACCCGAGGATTCAGATGCTGCCACTTGAGTCTTCAGGTGCTTGTGCAGGGTTTGAAAGTCCCGAAAAGGCCGGTACACGACCCAGGTCTCCTTGTAAGTAACAGCTGGCTTGCCTCCCTGCGTCAAATAAGGCTGCAAAATCTCAGCGGGGATGTCTTCAGTAACAAGATCAACAATGGCAACGCATCTGATTTTGAACACCGTGCTCTGGGGGTTCCCGGGTATTCTGATGTTGGCGTCCTTCGCAGGCAGGGCCTTCTCAATGGACACTTGGATGCTACGGATAACAGTGGGAAATCGAGGACTGAGGAGTGCATTCCGTCTCAGCTGCTCTCTATCAATGTGGTTCATCCCAAGCTTCAAGTCTCGTAGAAGCTTCTCCTGTTTCTCTCGACTTCGATCCCGGGCAAAGTCCAACAACCGTAACGTTGGTCTCAGTTGAGCGTCAGTACGGGCTTTGGTTGCACTCTTGGCTGACCCCGCCTTGACGCACTTGATGAGACACTGCACGTAACGACGAAGATAAATTGGTTAGTCAAAACGGGCCAACATCAACTAACTCGGCCAGCCAAAGCAAAAGTCTCAATGCGAAATACCCCTACCTGTAGTTGTGCCTCTTGTCGTGTCGATGTAATCAACAGTGCCGCCCGAATGAATGAAACGCGGTAGGGTTTAATCTCTGTGCTCGTCGTACCATCTTGCAGTTTCCTCGAGTACTTCATCCAAATGATAGGATAGCCATCTGGACCAAGTTCTACTTTGTTTCGCTCGCCAGCTGTGCTATCTTCGTCTGTTCGCTGATTGGAGTAGTCACGGCCGATTACGAGAAGTGCCGCACTCAAAGCAGCGTCGCTCATTTCAAGCGCGCTTGCATCGGCTCGGTGCGCCCCTTGGGATGAAGCATCATGGGCCGTGAACCGTTTGCCGCCAAGATCTATCATTGGACTCTCAAAGAGTGACATTCTGTACACAAAATCAAGCGCTCTCCCAGTCCGAGGAGCTGCGGTAAAGTCAGCCTGCTCCATGACGTTGCTGGACATGATGCCCGGCTGTGATCTTGACGTCGATCCCCTTGGCACCCATTTCTGGCAAAGATGTCTTTCTCTCAAAAATTCTGGAGACAAGAAGGGGACCGAGCCGCCCTGTCTTCCCCCACGAGGGTTCTCAGGCAGAAGCGACTTTCCCTTCCTCTGGTCCAACTTTCTAGTGTCGTTCAGAAAGGCCACTGACGCCATTCGATTGCTCGGGTAATATCGAAGCTGACATCGTCGCACGTAGCGCCCTCCTGAGTACCGGTTTGTACCTGGCACGACAGCTGGTTCTTCAAAAGAAGCCGAGAAACCACGATAGCTTTGATCCGCGTTACGAGTGTCACGGTGAACACCCATGGATGTCAATTGCCGAGGCTAACGTTGCAACAACAAAAGACAACGCCAACGGTCAGCACAAGAAGAAAGTTTGCAACGTCGTCGCTGAATGGCAAGGTGTCACGCATTCGCTTACCTGAGCACGCAAAAGGAACGAAGAGTCGTCGTCAGGCACCTCAATTCGTCGGCGTGCGCAAGCCATTTCTACCGTGAGAAGGGAAACCTCTGGAGACTGTGTGTCGCTGCTAGCAGATAGCGACGAATCGGCCGTGTTGAGCCGATTTCGCTTGGCAGCACCACTTCTAGCCGCATCTCGGATCCCAATCAAGTTGGTACCAGCATAGAAGATGCGAGCGACGTGGTGCAGTTCACGGTGAAATGCAATGTCTTCTGGCGTTGCTCCTTGCTCCTTCTGGCGACAAACAACTTGAATCATTTCAGTATCGTTCTGAATTGATGTTATCCACGATTGCATTCTCCTGTCTCGTTCTGAGCGCAAGCTGGATGCGAATGCTTCATTGCGATGATGATCAAGATAGCGTGGCGTTCCTCCCGTCGGCAGCGACTGCTGAATTTGAGAATAATCTGAAGCGGCTGTTGTGGTTGTCATGGCAGATGTGACCGATGACGAGAGCTCACGATTGCTTTGAGGATGCCGAGCAACCGTTCCCTGAGCACCTGACCCCTCGGGTGCTGTTCCGGAATTCGCCATTAGATTTTCGGAGCTCAGAGGTCTCTGCAGCTTCTTACTTCCCGTAATGCTCGCTTTGCGGCTGACCACTTTTTCTTCGATGGCTTTCTTCTTATCATTCAGATTTTGCATCCCCTTGTCCAGTAGCTTTTTAAATCCCATCTTCTTTCTTGGCGTTCCACCCGCTCCACCACCGTTTTCCACTGATTTGCTAGTTCTCTCCGCGATCACGTTGGGGGGTTCGGTTTGTTCTTCTTGTTCTTCCTTCTCTTGAGACAGCTGCGCCTCTTCGGTGGGATCGATTCTCGGGCTGTTCAGAATCGCAACCGTGTCGACCATCACATCTACTCCATCCAAAGCTCTGAGTTGTCGTGTAAAGGCAGATGATGTTTGAGGATTCCTCAGAAAGGCGCGGCTATGATAGAATGGTCGCAATACCGTTGTTTTGGCCTTTACAAATATGGACACAGTTTGATGTATCTGGCCAGTGTGCAACCAAGCAGCAATGAGAGTTCTCAACGTGGACAAATCGCTGGTTGTTGGCTCGTAATCTTCGTTTGTGTCCACATCGCTTCCATCGTCGCCTTCCGAGACATCTTCATCGTAGGGCGCGTCCAGGTTCTCTTCCGCCAACACATGTGACTTTTCAAATCCCTCAATATCACTGGTGAGATCCATCATCACCTGTGTAAAATTGGGCACTGTGGCATCTTCTGGTTTGCCGCCCGGGGGCACTACTGAAAGAGTCGTTTTGCGGCGTCCGTGGAGGACAAGCGCTTCGACGACGAGCACCAGACGCAAGACACTCTTTTTGCAGCTTGGATTGTCCCAGTCCACTTCCACGCCACTGCCACCCTTGCTATTACGACGGCATTCGTCAAAATCAACCTGCCGCTGCAAGTTCATCAGAGCCTCGGCAAGCAATGCAATCATCGAATAGACTCCTGCCATGTTGCTAGTTTCTTCCATGATGATATCTTCGTCATCGTCTTCCATTTCATCATCATCGTCGTCACCCGCCGAATCCGGGGCTTGTTCATTTTCTCCACCAGCACCACTCTCCTCCTCTTGTTGCAGATCGCTGCCTGTCCCCAATAAATCCTCGGCAGCCTCCTTGTTCAATTCCGAGTAATCCACGGCATTTTTGGCGCTCAAATCCATCAAATCTCCCATCTCCTCGCCTTCTGTATTGTCATAACAAATGTCGTCTAATACCATTTCACTCACCCCTCGCGTCAAATTATTGGGACCGCGATTGGGTCGTTCCTCGTCGTCATCTTCATCTCCCCATGTTCGCAGGATTGGTTGACCGGCTGCGTTGACTGGTGTCGATGCATTGGAAGCGGCGGATGCTCGGTTGAGAGCCGCTGCTGATTCTTCTTCTTCTGCCGCAGTGTCGCTGCTGCTGCTCTCCATGGTAATGAGCAATTGCACCCAATAGTTGAGATAGTCGGGTGAAAAGCAAGACATGGTGGGAGCCAGGACGGCGCCACCCAAGATTTCCGTGAGCAGGGATGCGACAATGGGTGATCCATAGTCTTGTCTCGGAATCAAAAACTTGACAATTCTCGAAGCAATGACCCGATTGTAATCCAATTCGCACTCGTTCAAAATGTCGGTTGAAAACAATCGTTCTTCCAACACTTGGTCTTCGTCCTTTCTGTTGTTGTTGTTGTTGTTTTCAGTAGTATTGTTGTTGTCTTCACCACTATTATTGTCATTGTCACCAACACCAGTTCCACAATCTTGTCCTTTGGGATCGGAAAACAAGAGGGACGGAATTTCCAATCCAAAGGTAACGGCGGGATGTAGTTTTCCCGTAAATAGGAATTCTCGTGTAATGGCCATTTCACTGACGGGTTGATACTCGGACGGTTGTTCCGAAAACGACTCGTCATTGTTGTTGTCAAAGTCTTCTGATGCTGCACCATTACTGCTCGCAGTGTCCATCATGGTAGTATCGTCCGAGTCAAACAACATGGAAGAAGAAGCCGCCGTGGTCGTACTCTTGACCACCTTGACGGTTCGTCGGACGGCTCGTCCCACACTGCCCCGGACATCGTCGACGAGACTTTTATTGTTGTTGCCTCCATTCTCTTCTTGTCGTTTCTTATCCACTAACGTTTTGCGCAATTGTCGATACACTTTGAATGTATGTGCAATGACCTTGACCCATTTGAGTAGTACCAGTCGAAAGACATTGACATCTCCGACTCGATGTGCCAAATTTCCAAAGCAAATCGAGACGGATCTATAAATGTGTTCCATGACGGGCAAGGGTCGATTGGATGCCGTACTGTAGATCATCCATTTGGCAAAGAAATGTGGTGTTGGCGTGTTTTGCAGTGGTGGTGATGGTTCCCATGTTTCTCCTCGTGCTTCTGCTTCTTGCCGGTCTTTTTCATTCTGAACGACTTGCGGATAGGGAACACCCGCGTCAATGAGTGAATACCAAGTAGAGACATAATCTCTCATGAGGAATTCCATGAATCGACTAATTTCCTTGACAATGGGTGCCGGCAGTGTGGGCCATTCTTCGGAAAAGACTTGCATGGCGTATTGTCTGTCGAGCGGGACATCCGTAAACGGATATTGTGGCGCCTTTAATTTGCTGACGACTCTTCCTCGTTTGTATTCTGGATCAATGTCATATCCGGCACTGGCCATGAGAGCGGCATAGCCATTGTCAAACATGACGTGATCCAATGCCTTATTGCTGCTAGGAGCGGAAGGTCCTTGTTTGGTAAACTGCCGGCCAGACGAAAACCCCGTCGTACTACTCCCTCGCAAATGTTCCATGAGCAAGGCTTTGGTTTCTTGTTTGCGAGATACACTACTGGGGCTGTCACCGTCGCGATCACCATTTTTGGACGTGTGCCGTTGCAAGGCATCCAATTGATCGTAGACATGCGTCGCAAATCCCAATCCCAATGCGACACCCAACGCCATGGCAATGACACGCAGAATCAACCAGTAAATGGGATACAAAAAATGCATCACAAACAGTCGCGTCTGGCCCGTCACGACAATGGCCACCATCGCCACGGCCGACGGGATTTTGATCTTGTCGAGCGTTGCCTTGGTACAGTAGTCATGGTACAAGCTTGTGGCGGTCTGTAACGCCGTCTTGTCTTCCTTTTGATCATCCTCTGAAGCACTATCGGACCTTGGATTCTTGGCGGTTTCCGTCATTTTGTCCTGACTGACTGATTCAATCAAGTCTTTCTTTCTTTCGCAAGTCCCTGACCCCGCCTGTTTTGGTTACGCCAGCTACTTGCTAGCTAGCTACAGCAAGGATGAATTGAGTTGAATTCCTTCACACACACAACGGTTTCGCTTGCTCTTTTGGTGGTGGTGGTCGTGATATTGCTGACAACTAACCCCAAAGAGTCAACACCATCGCAAAGACTCCAAGGTCTTGTCTTTCTTGTCGCCAATTCTTCGACTGCTTCGCGGCTTTGGTGGCATCATCCAATCAATCGTCTTTCGTTGACTCAACGGTCCATTCACCTTAGCCCTACCGAAGTAAATGGATCCAGTGTGCGCCTTTAATACAAAAAACGCTGCCCACAATTCCAACAACAACAACAACAACCACCATGGAGCATCATCAAGACGACGACGACGGCGAAGAGCCCACGGTTGTTCGGCTGCAACGAGAATGCGAGGCTATGATGAAGCTGCTCACCAGATTGGAACAAGAAGAGTTGGATCTAAAGGCGCAAAATGAAATTCTGGCACGAATGGCGCTCAACTGCGGGTGTTCTCCGGCGCTATTGGAGCCACCGGCACCCAAACGACGAAGAACCAACAAGAGTGCGAATGCTGCGAACAAAGAGAAATAGACATAAAAAGAGGAAAAGCAGTGTTGGAAGAAAGGAAGTCAGTCAGTCAGCTTTTGTGTAATAACACAGATGGAGGACGCGAGTTTTGTGGGAGCTATGATAATTCGTTGCATGGCTTGCATCCCTTGAAACCAGCATGATGCTTCCACTTCGAAGGCGTACCCAGGACACTTCAGAGAGTCAGTCCCAAGCAATCAAAGCATGCCAATCTCCGGCATGCAGAATAACAACTAGCAACGCTACATCTAGGGGAACCAGAAGAGCAAACAACTTGCTAGAAGCTGCCAATTAACAAAGGCAAGCTGAGAATCGCATTCCTCTGCAAATTTGGTTTCACTTCTCTCAAACACAGCTCCCGAACACTTCTCCTGAACACTTCCCCCGAACACTTTTAGTGTTGTATTAGTATTCCCTCTGAATTATCAGTGGACAGTCTTTTAGTATTTTGCAGAGAATTTTCGTTGACGATTTTTGTACCTGCGCACCACACCGTACGAATTAAAAGCTTCAGAGATCCAGCATTCAAGGAATGCGATATTGGCAGTTACTTGTTTGGAACAACTTCTTTTGCAGTACTGCACGGGTGTTGGGCGTGGAGTGGGTTCGTCCAACACTCCCCCCCCACAATTCCATGCTCTTGTGCTATGATTAATTTTGTTGAGCCGAATGACTCAAAAATCAACACCATCATTCAGAAATTCCATTCAATCGTTCAGATTATCTATTTGATCTTAACAATCTACTAGCTAGCTAGTGCCAACAACTACCAGGTCCTCAAACCAACCCCTGGCTAAACTACCCGCACGGCAGCGTCTGGAGCCAGCGGGCTATTTGAGCCGGAGTTGTAGTTCGGTAAAGAATCGAATCGTCCTCTGTGAGGATTTTGGTGCTCTTCCTGGTACCAGTACGTAGACTTGTTGGGCCGTCTGATCGTTGCCAAAAATGAGGCGTCCATGTCGCATACGGTAGGAAGCCATCTTCTATTCTCACAAGTGAAGAGCTTTGGGAGACCAGACAACAAATCTAGAATCAGCCCTCACCCGTTGCTTATAATCACCCCTGTGGGCGGTCTGGGCCTGATTTGTGCTTTGGTGAAGACATTCCTTACAACCATTCTGCTTGCAACAATACCATTGTGCATTGACTAGTCTAAGGATCTAAGAGATGTAAAGTTTGTATTTCTAAATAAGTGAGCAGTTATTGATTATTTTCTAGAATAAGCCTGCAAATAGTAAAGCTGTAAAGCTGAATTGTAAGCTGTATCCCGTCGCACTCCCTTACAGCTGAAATGAAGCTGTCGCAAGAAACGATAGGAGAGAGTCCCCAGCAAAGTGCTGAGGTAAATTACCATCCCATGAGAAGCTTCGAATGACAGCAAAACTGTGGAGCCGGAAGACCACTTAGTGAAAATGTCGGCCCGCTGTTCCAGAGTCGGAATGTACTTGGAGCACGATGCCCTTTGACTCCCCGATATTTGACCTAAAAAGTGGTACTTTAATGCCAAATACTTGTTGCGGCAGACATTTTGGAAACATTCACAAGAGACAGGCAACCTTGGTTGTCTTCGAACACTGTAGAGCGCACGAGACTTCAGTAATTACGGGCATGTTCAGTTTGTTACCAATTTTCTTGAGCAGGGCTCGCATAGAAGCAGCTCCCTCATTGAATGCTGAAGGCAACATACTCAGCAGCAGTTGAGCTCAAAGAAGTCAGTCTGCGTTGCTGGACCAAATGATAGGCACCCAAACAAAGTCAAAACCAAAACCAGTGCGAGAATTGACGGATACCGGATCCTGATCATCCTCATATCCATACAACCCCGAAGTAGCATCCACCCAACAATCAAATCCTTGATCAAGCTTTAGGGCTAAGAAAAAATGCCTTTGTACACTTTTGCCAATCAAGTACCGGTTGATTCGTTTGATGCTTATGGCTAGATGGGAATGCCTGGGGTTGTAGCTGAATCGTGCTACCTGATGTTCACTACAGGTGATGTCTGGGCGAGTGTTGGATGCAAAGTAAAGCAGCATCCACAACTCCACACAGCTGGATAGCTCCACTCTTCTTCAAATGGGGCACCACAGTATTGTCAGTCAGACGACGGATCGGTGGGCAGTCAAGAAAGTCTTAGCTGGCTTAGACATCCATTATTCAATAACCTTGTTGATGAGCCCCTTTTGAGTCCAATTCCACATTGTCCCCTGTCTTTCAAAATTAATACAAAGGAATCAAAGATGTCTCCTTGTCTTCCATGGGAGATCATATCCAAGCTTTTGGAGCTGGTCCAACATAGGACTCAATCAAATCATTGTCCGGGCTAAGCCAGATTTGGTCATCACAATAATTTAATACCATGAGTTTGATGCTCCTATCAATAAATAAACATGGTTCTGCTCGAGGTTTCTGAAACCAAGTTGCATCATCCCACGACATAGATGCTCATTGATTAATTTGGGTGAATCGGTACTGCCAAAGATGGACTTGTAATTTCAAAACACAGTCCTTCCCTTCATAATCTTTGGGTCCATATACTGAGGCAATTCCTTGTACACATGGCTGGTCGGCAGGCTGAGGACTCTGACAGAAAGCAAGAGTAAAATCAACTTGTCCGATTCCCATCCATGCGCATCTGCAAGAAGAAGACCGGACCTACAGTGGGCCAAACCACAAGTGGAGATAATTCGCGGCCTTCATAGGACTGAAGTCACCTCTGCAGCACCATCTATATTTGAACTGTTCAATTGGCCATCTGGTAACCTCTTGATCGTATTACCATGTTCGGAACTGACCTGAGGTGTGGGCATACGAAGACGTTGTACGATGTGCCAATCCCTTTGCCTTAAGGCTGCAATTTCTTTGTCCATTGCTGCCAGAAAGTGTATCTGCATGTGGTCCCATACAGAGATTCCTTCAGAGATGGAGATCAGGTCTCTGAAGTTTTGGCTTGGAGAGCCAGTAGGGCTTTGAAGAATGCCAGAATGGAACGATTCCTGAGTGTTGTCGGGGATATCCAGTTACCTGGGAGTTGAGCATGTGCCCTGAAATTGGAGTGATTCAAAAGGCATAGCTAAAGCACAATAGAGCAGGGATGAAGGGCGTGCATAAGTCTTCAGTTTTGGGTCCATGTTCAGAGTATTCAGGCTTCTTGTTGTGAGCTGTCCTACTTTGTGGATTCCGACGTGGGGCAGCAACATGGGATTGCCTCGATGGGACATCTGTGGTCGGGAGCTGCTGACGATGGAGGCTCCCTTGCCCAAGTACGAAGGCATTTTGCTGGTCTGAACAAGGTAGCGATGCTGGAATCTCCCTGTGTAACCTGTATGCTGTGGTGGAGACGGAGTTGAAAATGAGATCATCACTTTTTGTCTTTGCTCTTGTCATCCTACCATAACTTTCTCCCTCGTCGAAGCTTCTGAATATGTAGTCGAGTGCTTGGTTGATGGCTTTTCCTCCTGGAGTAAGCCACTCGTCTGTCTAAGGGAGGTGAGAGTGTCCTCATCAAAGAGGGATTCGAAGCGTTGGAAAATGAACATGTTGGTCACATTCTGGAGGTGGTTGTCTTCCGAAGAGTAAACTGTTTCAAACCAATCATCATAGACAAGATGGTACTGGGGGAAAGGTATCCGTTGTAGATGGTTGCGGTTCAACCCCAACATTTTCTGAATTGGACAGGTGAGGTGCCAACATAATTGTGCCTCTCCTACTGGGCTGCCCATTTTGGAATCTTTCCTCCCTCACTAGGTAAGCCGAGGTTCCAAAAACATAGGCAGGGCATCCCAACAGGATGGTGCATTTCTGATGACGTTGACCATCACTGAAAGTTCTGGAAAATACTCTCAATGGGAGAATGCCAGTAGCTGAATTTCGAAGTGTGGTTGTAAAGGTGTGCTGCATGAGCGGACTGCCAAAGGCCAAAATCGGGAGTCACATCAGACTGTCCGGCCTAGGATAGTGCGAGCTGGTCATCGTTCTAGCTTGGTAATACAATTCTACTCCGGCCCGTCCTCCAGAACCCCATTCTGCATTTGCACCGTTGCAGCATGTTTGATTGATTATGGTGGTCCTAAGATGTTGGATATATGCTTGGCTTTTGTAGTATGCCATTGTCAGTGTAATATGATGAAACCACAACCCACCTGTTCGAGACACCATCGTTTGTATGCTTCCTTGGACATGATAGAATCAGAAGTATTCAATGTAACTTGTGATGGGCCAAAGATTGGCTGCTGATCGGCATCACAAAATATTGAAATTCCACAGAACTTATTGCTGTCTTTGTTCCCTTCCTGCAGTGTGCATCAATCTTCCTCTCACTCGTGACTCCAATTGGTCACTGAATGTTGTCATACCTGGCTCCAACTTTCCTTCTTGAGGGCTCCTGTTTGTCTGTAAGCTTCTTGCGTGACATGATGTTAGTCTATGTTTTCTGACTTGCTTTCCATATTGACAGGCGGCACATTTCGGAATGGTCACCAACTTTGCTTTCTAAGCAAACCAAGACCTTTTTTGTCTAAGAAACCAACCAAGCCAAGAGATTGGAATATGGAGAAGGACAGATGTCCCAACTTGTAATGCCATTGCAAGCCAGATTTTGTCAAATGTAGAAAGGTTCCGGGTTGTTGGTATAGAAGAACTGAGTCATTGTTTGAGAGAAGAAGAGTGCCTTTCCTTTGGGAAAGAGTAATCGTGGTTAGTAAACTGGAGTCAAACTCTTCATTTGTAGCATTTACTTTCCTCCCGTATGCCATTCAGCTATGGTCGTGGTAGACTCGAAGTGATCGCTGAGTTTGCATGTCTTTGGGTCAAGTACTTGATGGACAAGAAAGCGTTGAGGGCTTCGGAGTCTGTTTGGAAGATCAGATGAATAAGAACCTCCCCCGAAATTGACACAACATTTGCTTGCTAATCCAAAGTCTCGCAATCAGAAGTGCCGATGTACTCGATGCTCAGAACCTCCAGCGATACCTCTAGGACAATTGGTTCGAAAAGCTTTCTGATAGAATTGGTCAACATCACTGAAAGTATGGTGCAAGAATAGGAACAATCCACT